TTCATGTTTGGCACCAATAGTAAGATTTTCGAGCATCTTCCTATCTCACTCCAATGACTCAAATATAAGTCTGGTCCTCATGGAAACCTAGCAATGTCGTGGACACCCTACCTTGGAAGGGAAAGTTAGGGCCTTGGGCTAATACATAGAACCATTTTTCATTCCACCCCTTTAACAAGCTTGGTAAGATTAGGACCCTAAACCCATCTCGGGTCGATAGATTAACAAAGCACGTAAATTGGGAGAGTTGTTTGAGGTTGAACACCATGCAACATAGGTAAAGGTATGGTATGATGCCCAAATACCTACAAGCTATGAAAAAATAAATAAGCATCCTCCAGACATTGGGCACTAACTGCCTCGAGCACAGGGAGTGCTCGACCAACAAACCTAAGGAAAAAAGATGCAAGGGTCACCTAAACCTAGCCTTAAAAGTGTCCTTAAAAATGACAAACCCTTCTTCTCGAGGCTATACCATTCTACCATCGAGGTTCGATGACCTAATGCGCAATTAGGCATTAGCCCAAACTCTCTAGTAGCGGCCATTGCTAGGTGTTTTTTAAATCTTCAAGTCTCATTGGGAAACTTAAATCTGGATTACTCTGATACCTAGGTCAGGCGTCTAGAGGCACGACCATCGAAATGATCGATGTTCGTATCTCTGAGCTACTGTTTAAGCAATTAGAACCCCAGTCACTCTCATTGCTAGACATCACTCTTACTTAAAACTAAGAAAATAACTTAAGGTCTCGAACCTTACTTCTAAATACCAGACAACCAAAAGTATTTCTAAGGAATTTGCTCGAGCTTGATCTTACAGAAAAAGATTTACACCAAATGAAAAATTAAAGGTGAAAGGGGTATTTTATAAGCATGGGTGTGGAAAGCTAAAGGTTTCCATCTTGACCGTTAGATCATGCCACTTGTCACACATCTAGAGGGTTATTCAAACCGCCTTATCTTTGCCCGTGCATTCAGCATCTACATTACGTAATATCCTCAGTATATGTCCCAATTCTCATTAAAAGCTCGATGACTCCTATAATTTAAAAACTATTCCCAACCAATGTTGTACCCTTCCCTAAAATTTCGAACATTTAGGAATGGATGCATGGGATGGCACATCCCCAAGGAGTACTGCTTGAGGACTCGTGCGCTGGCTCATCGTATATGAGTCATGGAGTCCTCGAGTATAATGGTGTCCTTGGGAAAATACCCAGGGATAGTACCGCACTTCCACGAGATTTGGATGGCAACGTCCTTGGGATACCTTTTTATCTTCCAAGGGACTTGTGTCCTCGAGTACTTTCCTTTGTTTAATTTCAAATACCTTTTTGATTAAACCCAAAAGGATCCTACTTCTTAAGAACTCTATTCTCATCCAGACTCCTATGCTTACTAGGACTTTATCTCAACAATATTACAGTTAAGATATGATTGGCCTTGGAATTATAGTAAAAGTCCAACACCCCACCTAAGTAGGACTTTTTAAGATAAGGATATTCAACTAATTTAGTCCTATTAGGAGTGCACTATCTACCTCTACAAATACAGAGCTTTAAATTATTACTCAGGTAGCTTTTACATAATTTTTCAGTTTATAACCTCACAAATAAATTCTCTCTCTAACTTAAGTATTAGAAGGGCAACGGGGACACACCTTCAGGTACTAGAAGATCTCGTTCATGCACATTCTTAATCATCAAGCTAAAAAATTAGCAAGTACGATTTTTGGTAGCATCAAGCATCATATTACACTTATTGTATTTACTATCATTTTATTCTATGGGTAAGTTTTTTCGACTTCACATTTATTTATTAATTAATGCAAACAATTAGAAGAAAAATATATCAGAAATTCAGTATTGTTCCATTCGATATCTACGAGAGGTCAACAATAGTTCGAACAAAATAGAGAGAGAAATATTGATTAATGGGATATTGAGAACATCTTCAAGAGACTTTAGAGGCCCGTTTGACATGACTTTTGTTTTTATTTTTTACTTTTTCATAGAAGAGTTGTTGGAGGAAGTTAATTTAATTTTTGTTTGAAAATTAATTTTTAAAAGTACTTTATATTCTATGAGTGCTTTTTAGAGAAAATTACATTGGATCAGCTTTCTCTTAAAACTCTTATAACTAGAAGAAACACCTTTTTTCATAAAATTAGCCAAAAAGATTCAAAAGAGGGTTTTGGATCTCAGGTCCTTTTGACATTTTAAAAGATATACAAAATGGACTTTAAATGCAACATGCTCTCTATTCTAGATAGTCGAATTTCATGATTTGTTTGACATATATTTTACTAAATTTACTTTGTACAAATCATTTTCAGTCAAGCATTTTATATGATCCATAACTTTTCAATCGCACATTCACCAAAAAAAATTTTCACTTTAATATTTTTGTGCCGAATGAGGTTTAAAAAATAAAATCCAAAAGACTCTTTATTATTTACTTTTTAAAATAGAGTGAAGAACCAAACCTTCCCCGTATTCTTGCTTTATAATGATTATATTTAACAAACTCCATATTTCAAAACTCTACTTCTTAAATTAGTAAAATCACATGTGAATTAATTGGCCATTGATATATAAAAAATATATTATGAAGAAATCAATAAATAATATTCAAGCAAAAAAATTTTAAAAAAATGAAGAGGGAAAATAGAGAGTATTATTGGAGTGTATAAAAAAAATTTCCTTTAAAATTTAAAATATTTTCTATTATATATAAGACATTCTTTATAAAGAGAAAACATATATGTCCTTGTTTGATGGTCAATATTTGGGAAAAACAATATTTTGAATAATGATTTTTGGGAAAATGTATGGTTAGAAAGTAGATAAAAATTTTAAGTTTATGTGTAGCATATTTTATTTTGTGAATGTGGTTAAAAATGATTGTATAGAAGAAAGATTTTTCAAATAATGATTGTCCAACATGGACTATTAGAGATGTTACAAGGAATGACAACTATGTTAAAAGGGAGATTTTCACAGTTGTCATTAAAATTTGTGCAAAATTTTAAATTAGCCCTTAATGTTTGCTTTTGACTTACACAATTGATTTTTAATGTAGATTTTAGAATAATTTAGCCTCTATTTTGTTTAAATAAAAATCAATGTTTAATAAATTTAGATAAAAGTTGATGAAATGTGGTATTGAAATGTTTTATATTTTATGAAGTGTATGATTATAAATGAATTTTAGAGGATGAGAACTGAATAGGGACTTGATAACTAAAGGTGATTAATGTAACACCATTGATCACTATGTTGGGGAAGCATGTGCCCCGTGTTCTTTTCCCTAGTTTTAGTGCAAAAAATAAAAGCAAAGTTCAATGAAAATTCAATTCGGACATACTTAAAATTTATTGTATATAAAAGTATACAATTTAATACTATGGCTGTTGAGTTTATTAGTCCTTGAATTATATGTAAAATATTACTTTCGAATCATTTTAATGCATATTTTTCTTAAACTAATCAAATTGGATGATGTTATGGGAGACTCGACTATAATTTATTGTGATTTCTTAAGATTTATAATGAATATTTATTTCTTTTTGAGGATAGCATGAGCTTGTAAAGTAATCACTACCTTATTAGTTGTTCGTGTCAATGCCACCTCGTCAAATTGGAAATTCTTTTCACGTACAAAGTGAATAATAGTGTATCATTAATTAGCTTTAGGTATTAAAGTAGGACAAAAATTATAGTGATCAATGTACTTTCAATGTTGTTTTTAGTAGAAATTGAACTTCAAAAATTTTCAAATAGTCTTGTACTTTCCCATTATCGCCAACTTTAAATTATTTTCAAGTAGTCATAGTATTTTCAAAGCTATTTTTTATCGATAACTGAACTTTTAACTTTGTCTATTATTCATTATTGTGAAAAATGTCAAATTCAATTTTAAAAATGGGTACTCGCAATTTCGATTCGTAATCACTTGATTAGAATCTTCAATTCTAGTTTCGCAAAGTTCTATTCCAATTAAAACGTCCATTCCTAACAACCACCATTATTCGTGTGCCAAGAAAACAAGGTTGGGATATATGTGCAAAGAGTTACAAAGGTTTGGGATGACAAAAGTAATTTACTAAAAGTTCAAAAGTTGTGCGTGAAAATTAGGGATGGCAATTTGAACAGTTAAAATCGAAAACCGCGGTTAACCGAACCGAATAGGGCGAAAAAAACCTAATCGATGGTGCAGTGGGGCGAATATGGTATTTGATTTTAATGAACCAGTTCGTAACGGTGCGGGTATGGTATTTATGCCGTCGAACCGAAATCGAACCGATTACCCGCTTAAAAAATATATATATATATATTTTTTAAGCGGGATGACAAGGTTTACTGAGGAGTAAGTTGACGAAGAGATACATTTTTTTATTTAAATCTTAGTTAAAACCATTCTGGATTAGGTAATATCATTGTATTCTCTACTTCCATTTCTTATTTAGTATAAAGGAATCAATTTTGAGTGTTGACCTATACTAGTAAGAGTTGTGGGAAAAAATGAAGATTGAATATGAGTTAAGGTTGAAACTTTTGAATTATTGAGCATGAATCAAGTAACTACAATGCACAAGAATCAAGAATGAAGAAAAAGTTTAGTATTATTATATTCATAATATTGTTTGTTAAATTTGTATTTTGCAATTGAAATTTGGGATAATGTTTGTATTTTCGTTTGGAATATTGTGTTTTTGTTTTCATTGACTCTATTTTCATAAATTGTTTTATATCAATTTGACGGATGGATTTATAAAAAACAATTTATCTTCGTGGTTATTAACCGAATCGAATCGAGCTGAACCGAGATACGAATCGAATCGATTTACGTGATTATGGTGCGGTTATGATATAGTAAAAAATTTGATAATTCGATGATGATTTTGATCGAATCGAACCGAAATCGAACCATTGCCATCTCTAGTTAAAATGATGGTCCATTAAATGACCAGTTTTCACCGAACGCACATACATCGGCCAATACAGACTGCTGCACCAGAAAATTGCCCAAATCACATTAGACTATTCATTTTCCCGCCTAGCAGAACAGGGGAAGGTGAGAGAAATATCGCAAGAGCGAATGCTTGGAAGATTTCGTTCCGATTCATCACAAGGTGATAGTTTCTCTTCATTTTCAACTTCTCCGTTATGCTTTATTTTCGGACTCTTGAAGTAAAACGCAATTTTAGTGGCATTTCACTTGGATTCTTCTATTTCTCAGTATTTTCGCCTGTTTCCCTAATAAAGTTTGTGATTTATATAAATATGTGATTTTTGGCGAGTCTGTGTTGCTACATTGTTCTCTCGTGTTTGTCGACAAAGGGTTTATTTTTGTTGTTTTGCCCAGATATCAATTTGTTAAATTGGATTATTAACTATTTTAACTTGTCTGTGTCCATATAATTTAAGTTGTAGGTGCCCTGCAGATTTTGAATTTTGGTTTATTTTTCTCATTGGAACTTTTCAGTTTGTATTTTGTATATAATGTGTTATTGGTGAATAGGTGTTGTACATGGTTCTCCTGCGTTCATGGACAATGGGCTCATTTAAATTGTTTTGCCCAGTTATTAATTTGTTGAATTGGGTTTTGGTTTGTTCTTCTTAATGATTTTTACTTGTTTCTTCTTAATTATTTTTACTTGTTCTGTTAATGCAATTTCGGATTGTTGGTACCCTGCCTATGTCGAATTTTGATTCATTTCTCTTATTGGAGCTATTCAGTTTGAGTTTTGTATAAATATGTATTTTTGGCTAGTCTATTTTGCTAATTTTTCTCTTTCAATTTGTATTTTTGTATAAATATGTATTTTTTGTGAGTCTGTGTTGCTAAATGTGAGGGTTGGCCCTCAACACCTCAACAAAGCAACACAACCCAGAAATATTAAACACAAACAACTCAGCACCCAGATTTAATTGCAGTAAAACAAAAGTTTATGGCTGACTTTGATTAAAATGAAAGAGAGAGATGAGAAATAAGAGATGAGAGAGAAGATTTGGGATAGATAACTTTAGACTACGCATTAATCAATCCCTTTTCCCTCTATTACAGTTGTTATAATAAATCAGATGAAGAAAGCATGAGTGCAAGGATAAAACGTGTTCAGCCATTGCAATTTTAGAAATAAAACAAAACAACACCTTTCTTCTAATTTTGAATCTTCAGTTATGGCGGTTGGTGCTCTTTTCCCTTTGGTAATTTGCGTCTGCTCCTCTTCTTCTTGTGTTGCCACTTCCACTTAGCCATACATATCCACTTACTCCACTGCTTGGGATGTTTCTGAATCATATACCTAAGATACTTTTCCAAACTGATTTAATCTTTCCGTCTGGCCATCAGTTTGAGGATGATAGGCAGAGCTAAACTGGAACTTGGTTCCCAATTGTTTGATTAGTTCCGACCAAGATACACTTGTAAAAACCTCGTCTCTATCTGAAATGATGCTTTGTGGCATGCCATGGAGTTTATAGATGTTATTTAGGAATAACTTTGCAATACTGGCAGCTAAGGAAGGGTGTGAGAGTTAGAGAGTGATCATATTTGTTGTATTTGTCTACCCCAACCAAGATGGCGTTCTTCGTCCCAGAGTTAGGCAATCCTTCAATAAAGTCCATATAAATGTAACTTCAAGCATACTGTGTTTCGAGTAATGGATGCAACAAGCTAGGATATACAACATGCTTTCCTTTATAACTTTGGTAGATGTCACATTCCAAGACCTCTTTTTTAATTTCTCTCACCATTCCAGGCTAAAAGAAGTGACACTTGCCCTGTGAATGCTGGCTTGAACCCCAGAGTGTCCCCCTTCTTGGGATGAGTGAATGGTCCCAATTAATTTTTATCTCACCCTTGCTCGAGAGCCAATGTAGATTTTGGATTTGTACTTGAGCAACCCATTCCTGTAAGTATATTTAGGTTCTGACTTTTCATCAAGAACCAATGCAATTATCTTGCTCTTTTGCTTTCTCATCTTCCTAATAATTTGCAATTACCTCTTGAATCCAAGCTAATGTCATGATGGTTATGGTCATGCAGTCAATGTCCTCAGCGTTTGCCATCTTGGACCATGCAGTCAATGTCCTCAGCGTTTGCCATCTTGGACAGTGCATCTGCCACATTTTAATTTGTCACCTTCATGCATTGAATTTCATAGCTAAGTCCCAATAGCTTGGTTAGCCATTTTTGCTGCAATGGAGTTGTGATCCTTTAAGAGATTGGTTGTCTGTTTTATTTGTGTAATGTTGTCCTTCCAATTAGTGCCTCTACTTTACTACAGCTGTCACTAGTGCTTGTAGTTCCTTCTCATATATGGATAGTCCCAAATTTCTATTGTTGATCCCTTTATTTAAGTAGGGGTTTGGTCTCTTGTTCTGCAATAAAAACGCCCCTATTCCTCTATGGCATGCATTGGTTTTAATCATAAAAGGGATATAGTAGTCTGGGAGAGCTAGTACAGGAGCCTTACACATGGCTATTTTCAATTCTTGAAAAGCCATATCAGCAATCTCATTCTACTGAAATTTATCCTTCAAGATATCTGTCAAAGTTCTGACCATGGCCACATATCAATCACAAATCTCCTATAGTAACCGATGAGCCCTAAGAACCCTCTCAGTTGCTTGACATTCCCTAATGTGGGCCTGCATGGCAGCAATCTTGGAGGAATCTACAGATACCCCTTCTACTGTGATGATATGCCCCAAGAATTCTATCTTGGGTTGCCTAAAGAAACATATACTTCCCTTAGCATAGAATTGGTGTTCTCTCAACAGCTTTAAAACCTCAAATAGATGTTCACATTGAATGTTAGTTCGTGCTATAAATCAATATATCATCAAAGAAAAACAAAACATACTTTCTAAGCTGTCTTTTGAAAACTCCATTCATTAAGTACTGGAAAGTGGATGGAGCATTAGTAAGTCCAAAGGGCATTACCCTAAATTGATAGAGCCCTTCATGTTTTTTGAAGGCCGTTTTGTGAACGTCTTCCTCAGCAACTTTGATTTGGTGGTATCATGCTCTTAAGTCTGTTTTTGTGAACTACTTTGCTCCCCTTAATTCATCTAATAGCTTATCAATTAAAGGCATAGGGTACTTATTCTTGATATTTAGACTATTTAGCTGTCTATAGACTACACAAAACCTCCAATTGCCATCTTTTTTCTTAACCAACAGTATAGGATATGCATTAGGACTGTTGCTTTGTTGGCCTACTGATGAGGACATTACCTATTTCGGACCTCTACTTGTGGGCTATTTATTTTATGTGTTATTAGTTTAATTGGATTGTATTAATGGGCTGGCCATGGCCCTTTTATGCTTTAGGTTTACTTGTTTTCTTCCATATGTATAGATGTGTATTGTAACCTGAGGAGGCAATTGATGAATTGATGAAATGAATATGCAAGTTTTCCTCCCTTTCTCTTAATTTTTCTTCGTTTGGTTTTCTTCTCCAGTCCCTACTTTCCCCTTCTTGCTGCCTTTCTTCTTCTCTTCCTCTTCTCTACAACTTCGTCTTTTGTTCTTCTCTTCTTCAGCTTCTTCTTTCTTTCTATGGTTGTAGGCTGTTCTCTATCCTACATCAACTTGGTATCTTGGGAAATACTTCAACTTCTACAGCCCCTGCTCTATCTGCTGTAATTTCCACCAAGATTTTGTGAAGAGAGTAAAGTAAACCGCCCACTAACACAACACAACCGGCCCTACCACCACTTGACCATCGATTTCAATTCAAACTCCCATCGGTTGCCAAATCACAACTCCAACCTAGACTTCTTCAATCCCCAATACAGTAACCACCAAACCTCACAACTACTAACAGGCCTACAATCCTCAAACCCACCTCCCAAAATTATCGGACATCGCCTTCCCTGCATCTGTTTCAACCTCCGCAACAACCTCTATCACCGACCTAAACCACCCGCATATAACACAGCCCACTGCCCAGAGTTTCCGTTCACAACAAAACCCGATTCAGCCACAGCCCCTTCACTCCCTGCAACTGTCAACCTTCACCTACCGAAGTCACCACATCGTCCACTTCACAAGCCCCATACACAGAATCAAGCCCCGAAATCATCAACCCTGTTGAAAACTTCACAGTAATCAGTGACTTTCAATAGCACCATAGTAATACCGTCGACCCAGGCCTCAGACACTTTCGCAGCCACCAGTCATCTACAAATCAACTCCAAAATCGCTAAATGCCGACTCCAATCCCTACCTCCTGGCACCGCCAACAATCGACTCCAAATTGCCATAAACTTGGGCATTTATTTTCAATTGGGCCGTGACTTACTTAGTATTTTGGGCATGGGCTTGTGTGGCTGGGGTTTAATTTTAATTGGGCTCAATTTTGTGATTTGGGCTCAATTATTGCCCTGCTTCTTATATGTAAATTAATTTGATTTTGCAAGTTTTAAAAAATAAAAAAGGAAAAGGAAAAGGAAAAGAAAAGAAAAAAGCGAAAAAAAAGTGAAAATAAAACGTATTTTCTATTATTTGCAGGCACCTCTTTTTATTCCTGTTGATTTGACACAGCTACTTCAACGACGAAAGGGAAGTTACTGTTTTTATTTATCTTTGGTTTATATTACTGTTTCGTTTTAAAATTGCATCAATATTTTTGTGTGCTATTGTTATTCCAGTTTTTACCTAAACTCACGTAATTGGACCCATTACCTTCGTTAAATTTCACTTTTACCTCACTTATTTTACGTGATTAGGTCCTGACTAGTATTTGGCCCCTTGCTTTATTATTTTACATAAACCAGCAGTATTAGTTTGCCGTAATTAGATTTATTTAATCCCAAAATTTAGAAAAAAGGGACACAAGTTATTTTCCATTGCTTGCACTTATTGTTCATTGATCTCTCTATTGCACATTATTTAGCTACTAAACAGTGCATGCATAGTGATCAACTAGTCGTCTTGTCATTTCTAGTGCCTGTACCTAAACATGGACCCTTCACAATTCGATGCACTTACCCTACAAATAGCAGCTATTCAAATCCAGATGACTGCTACTCTCGAAGAGAGTAAGGCCCTCTCCGCTAATTTGAAAATTCTAAGCAAATCCCTCATTCGATCAATGTTGATAATTCTGAAGTATCCTAT